TGTATTTGGGTGCTATGGTAACAAGCTACTGTCCATCAATGCACATTTCTCCAATCATAAATTACCAAGTGCATTCTGTACAAATGAGCTCACATTGTAAAAATCTTTATGCCTGTCCCACCCCTCATGCCCAAACTGGATTTTGTGAGGTGGAAAACGTAGTGGACGCCAAACAAAATGGATTAATAAAACATATTGGCAGAAACATTAACAGGTGTTCATCATTACCACTTCATAATACAGCATTAGCACTGGGAAATGCATTTCACTTCTGGACACACTGCATTGTACAGTAAACTGTACTGCACACTATAAACTTCTCCAAATGACACAATTTGTGGCACACACACATACATGCATTACATACCTGACTATATTAAGATTTAGGCCCTTGAACTCCCTTTATTACAGCACAAATTAGCATTTTGATATTCATTTTGCCAGCCCCCCCCCATCTCCATTAAATATTACGGTCCTATAATGTCCATGGAAACCATGATACTATCATACTACTGCAAAACTTTTGTACCTGTCAATATCACTTTATATGTTATATACGACACAGATTTGATGATGCTCATTATTGCTACAATAGCCCAATTAACAGATGATGTCACAACCTTAGACAAACAAATCAGCATGTTAGGACTGGAAATGAGGAGGTGGCTTTGAACAGTTTTGCTTTAGTGGGTGTCTGAACTTGGGTCTTATCTGTCTTTTACAGGTGTCTCTGTTGGTAAAGTGAGAGAAGATGCGGCACAGGGTCTTACTGCTCTGTGCCCTTCTGGGTTTACTGCTTATAGGACTCCCCCCAAACCTCAAAGCTCAGGATGGTAAGTATGGGCATCTAAAGCTGATAATTCTCATAATTTTGTCAGAGAAAGTGAATTTACTTATGGAAAAGTTATGTTTGTGGTTCAAAGGCATAGTAGGCAGAATTTGCAGTTAATGTATGTAAACAAAAATGCAATTCATTTTATTCTTCTATTATAGTTCAGCAGTAAAATGCCAAATGTTTTTGTATGATGTCTATATATGGTGATGTATATTTAAATTCAAACTTTCCTGAAACAAGTGATAGGTCATGTTGGAAAAAGCATTGTGTTTACATATATTCACATTTACATTTGAGGATATGGGCTGGGAAATAAAAAACAAACTCCTACATTTTGATTCAATGCAAAAATTCTGCATATTTTGCCTTTAGATTGCTTCGTTTTAAAATTGTGTCAGCATTTTTGAGATATATGCAAATAAAACATGTTTTCATTGGCTAAACCTACACTGAAAAATACTGTTGGTGTGTCAGTGTTGGAATTCCTTTGGAGAAAGCTAGCTTCACAAGCAGAAAACCAGGGTTACATTCAGTAACCTTGAGTTTTCTCTCCTGAAGATTGTGCACAAGGGCTCGGAGCTGATGTGTACTTTCTTGTGGACACCTCCTGGAGTATGGGAGAGGACAACTTTGAACATGTCCGCCATTTTTTACTCAGCTCGATTCGCGCCTTGCACCAAACTGGAGGGGACAATTTTAGGTTCGCTTTGGTGCAGTACAATAGCAAACCCAAGACTGAATTCAAGCTCAACACTTACACATCAACACAGGGGGCGCTGTCTCACATCCAGGCTATGTCCTACAATGGTGGGGGCACTCGGACTGGTCTTGGTTTGGACTTCTTGATCCGAGCTCATTTGACCAGCGCTTCAGGAAGTCGTGCATCCGATGGAGTTTCTCAGATGGTGGTGGTTTTGACAGATGGGAGGTCCCACGATGATGTCTCCGAATCAGCCCGGGTCCTAAAAATGGCCGACGTTAAAGTTTTTGCAGTGGGTGTACAAGATGCATTGGACTCAGAGCTAAAAGAGATGGCTAGCAAACCATATGACACTCATGTTTTTAGCGTAGACTCTTTCCTGGCATTAAAAGACATTATCCAGGATTTAGTGGTGGGGCTGTGCGGTGCAGTGACCCAAAGCAGGGTGGTCAATGAGGAGCCTGTGTCTGGAGGAGGGACAGGTAAAATGGGACCAGTGTCTGTGTACTAATGATCAGCATGTCCAGCATACGGGTGGACAAAACATTAACCCAGCCAGAAGTATTACGTAACACGAATAACCCCTCACTTTATTCACCCATAGAATTAACATAGCAGGTATAGGCTCATATGTAACAGCTGCAACTTTGGGATGTCAGGATCAATTGATTTTACACAATCAGTTTTGTTATTTGAGTCATTAGAACTGTATAAGGACAGTTAAGATAATGTAAAAATGCACTATGTAACTTTTTGGTCTGTCTTCCATGAACATGTTATTGCTTTGCCTGGAATGTTCCACAGTGTGGCATTAAACTTATCTTTTTCCATCTGTTGACTATGGAATATTCTAGGAATAGCAAAAACATGGAGGGTGGCAGATTTTCCACCATAAACATTGCACAATGCACCTTTAAACACTATCAGATATATGTAGTCAACAGTCCAAAAAGTAAGAAAAAGAGCAGAGGGCTTATTAATATATACAGTCTAGAGTTTTACATTTTTGGTCTGACTAAAGCTAGTAATAAACTTGATTTTCTAATGGACAGTTTGAATGAAAATGTATTGTATAAATAACGGCAAAAGTCTCTATTCGACATCATGGCATCCCTACTGCAAATGCATGCAGAGACAGCCACATTTGAAAAACATATTGTGTTTTTTATTTTCATAATAAGATAAACAATATTTCACATTGCAGATTTTCTTTTTCAAAACACTATAAAATAGATGCTCTGAAATCAGTGAGCATTTAACCACTGCTAACCACGCACCTTTTCTCTCATGTCTTGCATTTATATCTTTTTCTTTTTTGTCTTTTAGCCAGTTTATATTTGTGTAAATTGTGCCATATGTTTTTGAAAACAGTGATGAATCTGTCTCAAACATCTTTGACCTGCAGCTCACATACTCCAAATATGTGCTTACCCATGACCACACCAAAATATTATCTTGGATGTACATATGAACATGTCCAAAGTAGTATTTTGGTGAATATATTCACATATTTGAGTTATTGAAGCAGGAGGCTCCAAGGATGAGCACAGAGTCATGACTGGTCACTGAAGTTGATAACATGAGTCTGCATGGAACGGCTCAACTCAATAGAGATGGAACTGTGTCAAATAAGATAGATAGTTGTTTAATTAATTAACTTAATATCACACTATATCTTATCTGATAAAACTACCTACACCAATATGAAAATACTAAGTACTAAGTAAGTATTTTAATACTAAGTATTAAAATCATTAATTAGCATTGCTAATTACATTCAACTGCTTAGTCGCAGAACTGTTATCCCACATTGAAGATGTATCTCTCTCACTCTCTATCTAATATAGATAGATAGATATATATAGATATAGATGGATAGTAAAGCACAGTTCCCTCATTAGTTTAGCCTCATGCAGTATAATGTTTAAATGTGGTTTTAATGTGTTCACTTTGAATGTTAACACGTGAGCACGTGTATCTTTGTGTCTGCCTCACAGTTTTAACGCTTTCACAAGTTCCATTTTGTTTTGTCTTCTCTCTTTCTTCTTAAAGCACAAGACTCAGCCGACCTAGTTCTCTTAATTGATGGATCACAGAACGTTGGAGCTGCAAACTTCCCTTTTGTGCGTGATTTGGCTTTGAGAATCATTGAGCGCCTTGATGTGGCCAGAGACAAAATTCACGTGGCTTTGGCCCTTTACAACACCAGCCCTGAAATTAAGTTTTACCTGAATAGCTATGACAGCAAAGCCTCAGTCCTGGAAGCCGTGAAGGGGCTGTCTTTCCCGGGGGGTGATGAGTCTAACCTGGGCCTGGCTCTAGAGGAAGTGTCTGAAAATCTGCTGAGCTCAGATGCGGGCGGCCGGGCGGAGGACGGCGTACCGCAGATGTTAGTGGTGATCAGCGGAGGCTCTTCCACAGATGACACCGGAGTAGGGGACAGGGCTCTGAAAAGGGCAGGGGTCATTACATTTGCTGTGGCGATCGGTGACTCTGCCTCAGCTGATCTGGAAACGGTGGCCACAGACAGGAGTTTTGTTCTGTCCGCCCGAGATTTCAGAGCCGCTCCCGACCTGGGGGATCAGCTGTTGCCCTACCTTAACGGGGTTGTCCAGCGCAGTATTATTGTTCAGAATGAGTTCACAGAAGGTAGGTCACTTTTCTAAAGGATGGCTGTGGTACGGAAAAGATGGGTGCAACATCATCCTCAAAACTCTGTTGTGTTTTGAACATTTCAAACAAATAAAAATGCTTGTGCTATACCCTAAATTCATTCAGTGATTCTCACCAAGGGTCTCTTGCCTCCTTCTTCCTCTTTGAAATTTGGGCTAGCTTGTAGTTTTCAGGGGTTGTCGTTATGGATCATCTACATCCAAATTCTCCTAACCTGTGCATTCTTTTTTCTCAAATCAGCTAACCCCAATCCCCAAAAATCTTTGCCTTTGTCTGGACTTTTGCTCGGCAACTCTAAGCTCAATATCTTTTCAGGACTGTACAATGCAACTGCTACCTCTACGTACATTGCTAAATTATCTTAGTCTTTCCTCTCTTTGCTTGCAAAACTCCCAACAATGGCTGTTCATCTGATTTGTAATCCTGTTAACCTGCGCCACTCATAAAAAGAACAGAGGGTTTTTTACTCATTATAAGGAAAAGTTTTTATAAAGTATTACAATTATTAGCACCATCTTCTTTAATATCAAAATACATTTTTAGTGGTGTATTTTTGGCAACATGCAATATGAAAAGATTGATAAAAAAAAAAAAAAAAAGAAATTGGCAAAACATTGTCATATTCAATGTAACAAGCCAGTTCCTCTTTTTGGACTTGATGAAAAAAATTGGAACAGCTAATTCAAGCCATAATTCACAGAGATGGCTCATCTCAATGGGCTACCCTTAAAAAACAGTTTTAATTTTCTTCACCAAATGGCTTAAAAGTATAACATTTTCTTTTCTTTTCAGCCTTGGCTGTTGGACAAAGAGACATAATTTTCCTCCTTGACACCACTATGGGTGCCACCCTGCTCAACGCCACCCGTGACTTCATTCGGCGTTTTGTCAGCTCCATGCCCATTGGTCCAGACCAAGTCCAGGTCGGTATCGCCCAATTCAGCACCAACACCCGAATCGAGATGGACTTGAACACCCATGGGTCCCGGGACGCTTTGGTGGCTGCACTGGGACGTTTAAGAACGAGACCTGGCCAAACCGTCAACATAGGAGCAGCGTTGGATTTTGTGAGGACAAACATGATTAGACCAGACAAAGGCAGTCGTCTTCGCCAAGGGGTGCCCCAACTTGTTCTGCTCATGACCACAAAAAGATCCAGTGATAGTGTGGATGAGGCAGCCAGAGCACTCCAGCAAATGGGGGTTTTAACTCTGGCAGCTGGGTCAAAAGCAGCCGATGAAGAGGAGCTGAAGAGAATTGCTTTCACTGACAGTGTTGCGTTTATGCTGAGGGATTTCCGTGTCCTGTTGAGAAATCCAAGAATCATTACGGATACTCTTTCGTCTCTGTCTGGGACTGTTGTGACAGAGGGACCCACAGAGACAAGTAAGGCTATATTTATTTTTTTATGTTTTCAGTGTCATTATTACATCTTTGTGCAGGAGCTCAGTTGATTGATATCCCCATTTTTGCTCTAATATAGCACATTTACACAGTAATTATTTATTACTATGTACTGTCTGTATCAAATAAATGAAAAGAATAGATAGACAGATATCATTGACTTGTTCATCAAAATTACTTCAGGATAACTGGCAAAAACATCAGTAATATTATAAAGTAAGTAGCTGCCAGTAGAGTAAAATCTCAAAAATGTGTATAGAAAATTTTACAAAAAAAAACAACAACCAACAAGCAAACAAACAAAGAAACAAACCAAAAAAACCCAACAACAAGCACTCCATCCTTTTAGAAAAGTTAAAAACCCTTTTTTATTGCGTCTTGGCTAATAACAAAAGAAAAAAAGATACATTTTGGCCAATATACTAATAGCTTTAATCAGAGCACAAGACTAAAAAAGAAACATTTGATAATGGGAATATTGATACTGGCTAAATGAATAAATGTTTGGTGTATGTAAATTAACTATATCTGTTTTTCTTTTAGTTGTGGAAATAACAACAGTGGAGACACGAAAAGTTGTCAGAGACTTTGTATTCCTGGTGGATGGCTCTAATTATGTTGGTGCCACTAACTTTCCTTACGTGCGGGACCTTATCATCAACATAGTAAACCAGCTGGATGTCCGTCCTGATAGAGTGCAAATTGGCCTCCTCCAATATGCAGAGGACCCTAAGATTGAATTCTACCTGAACAGCTACAGCAGCAGGGAGGATGTGGTGAATAAAATCAACCAACTCTCGCTGCTTGGAGGGTCTGTCCTTAACACTGGAAAAGCCTTGGACTATGCCCTCAAAAACATGTTTAAACCATCTACAGGGTCACGAAGGAGACAGGGCGTCCAACAAGTCTTGGTACTCATCACGGGTGGACCAACACAGGATTCAGTTAAAACTGTGGCTGATCAGATGGCTCTAGCGGGAGTGCTTACCTTCACTGTTGGTTCAGGGCAAGCTGATGTCAGTATGTTGAACAGCGTGGCCTTTGTTCCAGACCTGGCCTATCACGAGACCTACTTCTCAAATTTACCAGCCCTGTCAGAGCAAATGCTGACTAAACTGACAACAGTGGTTGGGGACACTAGTACAATTACAACATTCCCTGGAGAAATTGGTGAGTACATTTGTGATCTTATGTGAATTGTTTGTGTTTTAATTTTATAGATTTTTACCACCAGGGCTAACATGTATTAGTAAAAAATCCAGACAGAATCTAATTTAAAATATCCACCAATTCTACTTGTTTTAGTTCATACTATTTAAGTCTTTTTTTTCTTTTTACCATTGGAGAGAAATATTATTAAAGAAAGCAACAAAATCTCCTGCAAAATGCATTGAGATATACAGTTCTAAAGAATTGTAACAGTTCTATATTGTTTGATAATTTTTTGATATTTTTGTACATTTTTCTTTCATAGTGTGCATGGCTTTGGCAATCAAATTCTGTTTTTCTTTTAACTGTCTTTGTTGTTTATTTGTGCTTCAAGTTTCCAACAACCATGCAATGCCGAAAATGTTTTTAAAATTACACCTGTTAAATCAGCTGTCTTTTCTAATACATTTTTTTTTCCTTTCAGAGGGAAGAGATGTTGCCTTCCTTATTGATGGCACAGACAGTGTGCGGGCAGATTTCCCATACATCCAGGATTTTATCATTAAAGTCATTGAGCCACTTGAAGTAAGCGCTGACAAAGTTCGAATTGCCGTTGTCCAACACAGCGAAAAGCCACAAGCCACCTTTTACCTAAACACTTACCAGACCAAAGATGAAGTGGTACGAGCCATCAATAACATGAGAGTGGTTGGTGGTCGCAGTCTCAACACTGGCTCTGCTTTGGCATTCATGAAGAATACTGTGCTGTCTGAAAGGCAGGGAAGCAGAGCTGCACAGGGCGTACCACAATTCCTCATTGTACTGTCCGCGAGCAGGTCTAGAGACAGTGTGAAGGAGTCTGCGGGGGCACTAAAGACTGATGGAGTGGTGCCTTTTGGGGTCGGAGTAAAGGACGCAGACCCAAGGCAGATGGAGGCCATATCTCACAACCCTTCGTTCGCCTTCAAAGTGAAGGACTTTAGCGAGCTCAACACGGTGCCTGGAAGACTCAACACCTATGTGAACTTGCCCAAAGAGGAGCTGCAAGTCGTGCTACAGCAAGGTAAACAAATGTTTACATTACCTCTGGAATGGATGGTTAAGTATGGGGTAATATGGGTGTCTGTGAGATTATTTATTTGAGGTAACTATTTAATTATTATTAACTTATTCTTGACATTGTGAATGTCCAGAATGTGTCTGAATGTCTAGGCAACTTTTGATTGTCTAAAAGGGCCATATTAGAAATAAGAATTAAGCCACCTTCCAAATGTATGTAATATTCATTCACTGCACAGACTGTGGTGGTAAGATACTTCTGTAGCCCTGATGTAAGCTAACAGACATGTGGTTGCAAAGCTGTGTCAATGGCCTATATACCAATCCCAGTTGCTTACTTATCCATCATTTAATACATGCAAGGTAGGTGAGGTGTCTTGCTCAATGCACAGTATGTACTAATTAGAGCTGGGATTGAACCATTAACCTCTTTGTGGTTGAATGCTGCCCTTGTGCAAATTTGTGAAAAAAATCTTCAAACTGGAAATCCACTGACAACAGTCCATTATTAAGTCATAGAAACCCAATTACCTCATGCTAAAATATCCAATAAACCTCGCCTGTCCTCTTTGCCTTTCACAATACTTCTGTTCTCAACAATGTATGTATCTTTTGTATATTCTTTGTGTCTCAGTTCATACTAGCGATGCTGTTAAAAAAGATATTGTGTTCCTACTGGAAGGCTCTGATAACACAAGAAATGGCTTCCCACAAATACAGCAGTTTGTCAAAAGCATAGTGGAACGCTTGTCTATTGATGACGGCAAGGACAGAGTTGCTGTGGTCCAATATGCTGATACACCCACGGTAGAGTTCCACCTGTCTACATACAAAGATAAAAGTAATTTGATGGGTGCCATTGACAAACTAAGGCACAAAGGTGGAACAGATGTTAATAGCGGTGCGGCCATGCGTTTCACACGACTTATGGTTTTCACTTCCTCATGGGGTAGTAGGCGACTTGAAGGTGTGCCCCAGATTTTGGTTGTTCTGACTAGTCAACCATCTGATGATAATATCAAAACTCCGGCGTTTGCACTAAAAGAACATGAGATTATGGCTGTGGGTGTCGGAGTGGGAGATGCAGATCGGCCTGAACTGGAAGTCATTGCATTTAAACCCAATATGGTTTACATGGTGAATGACTATGGCATGCTGAGTCAAATCCAGTCACACGTTATCCCCACTCTAGACTTGAAAAAAGACACCAAGGAAGCATTGAATGGGATCTCTGACTTAGTAGGTAAGAAACTCATTTTGGCTTATATGTTGTTTAAGTTGCATTTTGCTGGCTTGGTTACAGAATGATTTTAATGTGTTTTTTGTTGTTTTGTTGTTGCTGCAAATGGGTTTGTGGGATTATTCAGATTTTTATATATGTATACATATTTGATAAATTGTTTTTCCTTGTATGTTTTTTCTTGGCAACTGTTTTAAACAATGCATTAAGCATCTTCTGGATTGTCTACAACAACAAACTTCATATTCTGAGCCTTCTCTTTGGTCTTGCAGGCCTCCTGTTTTCTGGCTGCTCTAGCCTTTCAATTTCTTCCCTTATACTATATTTGCTGTCCCTCTTCCTCTTGTACATGTCCAAACCATCTCAAACTTGCAATCTGTCTTTAGTTTGACATAACCTTTGACAATAAAACCAATTTTAGTTCCACTCTTTCACTATGAAGTGACAGTATCAAGAGATTTAAAGTCATGACACACCCTATGCATGATAATAGTTTTTTTTCAATATCCATCACATTTTTTTATGTAATCTTTTTTGATATCCAATCTGAAATCTGGGATATGATTTTCTTTTACATTGTCCATTTTAGCTCTACACCTTCACTTTAAATTGCCTTTACTACATGCATAGTGACATGCATGGTAATAAGTCTTCAGTACTATTCTTTTTTTTTTTTTTAATCTACTACACATCTTTCATATAAAAGATTGTTCTTAATAGCCAATCTGGAATCCGGGATATTCTCTTTTATGTTGTCCATTCCTAGAACTTGAAAACACATTTTTCTCGTTCTATATTATAGTTGACACAGGAGGTGATAGGAGAGACATAGTATTTTTGGTTGATGGTTCGGATGACTCCAGAAATGGCCTCCCAGCAATTCGTGAATTCATCCGACGAATGGTAGAGGATATAGAGGATGAAGTGATCCGTGTGGCTGTTGTACAATACAGCGATGACACCAAAGCTTGCTTCAATTTGAACTCTCACAAAACCAAAAGTGCCATTGTCTATGCTGTTAGAGGTCTACGACACAAGGGAGGGACATCACGAAATACTGGTTTGGCACTTAAGTTTGTCCATGATCATGTATTTACGCCTTTATCTGGAAGTAGGAAATTGGAAGGTGTTCCCCAAATTCTGATATTGCTCACTGGAGGCAAATCCAGGGATGACGTGTCACAAACAGCATTAAAATTAAAGCAAATGGGAGTCCTTATATTTGCCATTGGGATGAAGAACGCCCAGCAAGAGGAACTTGGTCTAATTGCTTCATTTCCCAAATCACTTTATAATTTTCCTGTGATTGGAGAGCTTTTGTCCGTTCAACCAGAAATAGCCACATTTATTCAAGATGAAGTTCATTCATTCACCCCAAATGGTAAGAAATGTGATTATATATATATATATATATATATATATATATATATATATATATATATATATATATATATATATATATATTCCACGTGATAATATATATATATTTCCACTTGCTCCATAAATCATCTTGGTTCCTTTTGCAACATTGCCTTAAGGACTTCAACTCAAGCATTTAAGAATGTCATCGCTAAGCTTTTCTTTCATCCAATGATGAACTCATCATTGTGTCTTCTAATTTTTTGAAGATATTTCTTCAGAATTGTTGATTTTACTTTATATCTTTCATTTTTGAAAGATGTGTCCTTCCTCATGGTCTTTTGTAAAATACATTAATCCGTTCTTTTACATTTTTGCACCTAAAAGGGCCACAGGTTTAGTTTTTATCCAATGATGATCACATCATTGTGTTTTCTTGATACTTTTACCTCTTATCTTTTGGTATCTATGAAAGATGGTTGCTGTGTTGAATAAATTGACTTAAATTTTAGTATCTGTTTTTGCACACTGCATTTCTATTTATTATCTTGCCCTTGCATTTTTACATTAACACTCACTGTTTCACTGTTTTTCATTTTGCTTTAGCATTCAGTGCTTGTAGTACTTGCTGAAAGTTGCAAATTTTCTTCATATTTATGCAGTATTGAAAACAGACAATTTTCTTAATATCTGTCTCAGCATTGTATGTATCTACCCCATACTTAAATTGTCTCCTATTCTTGCAGTTGAATTAGAGTCTGCTCAAAGAGACATTGTATTTTTGTTGGATGGCTCTGATGAAACTCTGGGCATGTTCCCAATGATGCAACATTTTGTTCAAAGTATGGTAGAGTCACTCAATGTCGGTGAGAATACCGACCGTGTGTCTGTGGTACAATACAGTGACCAACCAGAAACCGAAATCAATTTGAATACCTACTTTGACAAACAGGATGTTCTTGAGGCTGTCCAAAACATGATCCATATGGGAGGTGAAGGGAGAAGCACAGGGGCTGCTCTGGAATATGTGAAAAAAGATGTCTTTACCTCAACAATGGGAAGTAGAAATCAAGATGGTGTCCCACAAATACTGGTATTGTTGACTGGGGGTAAATCCAGTGATGATGTGACCAATGCTGCTGCTGCTCTAAAGCAAGAGAGAGTCATGCCATTTTGTGTGGGCACCAGAAATGCTGATATACTGGAGCTGCAGAATATTGCACATATACCATCATATACCTTCACTGTGCCTCAATTTGACACTGGCAGCACCCCCCAACAACTGGTGTCTTTGATTAAAAAAGTCCCACGGCAGCCAAGGCAAATTCCAGAGACTGTAATAAGATCAGGTAAGAACTGAAGTCCTCCACTTTACCTCTTTTTTAATTTTTAAAGAAAGGTTATAGTTTTCTTGAAAATGAATAGTTGCAACGAGAGTCTAGAAAAAGAAACCTTGCTTACAGAGAATTACTAATTGCTTAGAATTATGGCCTAACCAAGCTATAGCAGAAAGGTGAAAGATGTTGACTATGAGCCTCCATTGGATATTGTGTTCAACTATAATTTTATTCACTGTTTTCTGGCCTAACTGAACAACTTACTTTTGTGTGTCAAAGGTTCTCCAGATTTTCTGCTTCAGTCGATGCAGCGTGATTTTGTATTCTTACTGGACACTTCAGATGAAACACTCACTGAATTTGACTCAATGATTGGCTTTGTTAAGACCATTATCCAGAGTGTGAATGTGCAGAGGAACAATGATCGTGTTGCATTGGTTCAGTACAGCGCTGAGCCTTCAGTCAATTTTTACCTGAACTCTTACCAAACTTATGAAACTGTGACAGAGGCTTTGCATAATGTACGACACAAAGGTGGCAGAGCACGCAACACTGGCAAAGCAATTCAGTTTGTTAAAGATAATGTATTCACTTCCTCATCTGGGAGCAGACATCAAATGGCTGTTCCTCAAGTTTTGGTGCTTATAACTGGTGGAAGATCCAGTGATGATTTCAGAAATGCAGTTGCAAGTTTGAAAGCTATGGGAGTGATTGTATTCGTGTTGGGAACAAAGAAAGCAGATGTGCTGGAGATGCAGTCTGTTTCTCATAAGCCGGAATATGCATTGATTGCCACAGATCCAAGAGAGCTTTCAGGTATTGAGCAGCTCATAAAGTCCGCTACACAAAAGGTTGAAGCTTCTGCCATAAGACCACCTTCAATTGGTAAGACTATAGTGTACCAGAAATAGCATTCATGTGGTCCTCAATATGTTAGACACAAACAACTTTTAAAAGTAGATAGTCCGTTCAACATTGCATCAAAGTAATACAATTGTAACTGAAAACATAATTTCCACAAGATGAGAAGAAACACAAGATTAGGTCCATAAGCACAAAACTAGACAAGATTTTGACACCATATATAACAAATAAATGGTACAGTATTGTTCACGCATTTGACCTCACAATTTGGATTAATTTACTTTATATTTTTGCTGTCATAGTTGCATTGTTGACTCTGCTCTAAATGTGTATTTCAAACACATATTAACACGCCAGACACACACCAATGTTTGAAATCCTGCTTACCAACAAAAGCCATTTGAGAACTACATGAATTTGACAAAGTTATGCTGTGACGAAGAATGTTTTTAATTTATATTTTGTTCACAGATATTACAGATAACATAAAAAGAGATGTTTTGTTTCTTCTGGATGGTTCTGATGATTCTCGTGCAATGTTTGAAGACATAAAAGACTTTGTGAAATACATATTGCCAGAACTTAACATTGGTCCAAATGAAGACAGGGTAGCAGTGGTTCAGTTCAGTAATACAACGCAAACTGAGTTTGACTTTAACAAGTACTCCACATCGGATGATATTGGTAAAGCAGTGACAGCCCTAAAACACAAAAGGGGCTATCCTCATTATATTGGACAGGCACTCCAGCATGTAAAGGACAATATGCTTACAACTGGATCAGGAAGTAGAATTGATGAAGGTGTTCCACAGATACTTATACTAATATATGGAGGAAGATCCCAAGATGACATTCGGACACCAGCTAAAATGCTCAAAGAAACTGGTGTGATTTCAATTGCAATCGGGACCTCTGATGCAGACACCATTGAGCTGCAAACAATAGCTCATGAGCCTAAATATGCACTGTCTATTGATGACTATGAGGAGATTATTAGCATCAGACAACAGGTATTGTCTTTGATGAATGCGCACAGTGTCCAACCAATTGCTCCAACGAAAGTCATAGGTAAGATGTCTTATTAGAATAATTTTGGCCTACTTTCTGTTTTATACATTATACTTTGTCTTCATTCCAGACCACAAGAAAAGTGATGTAGTATTTCTTATTGATGGATCATATGACTCAAGAAATGGCTTTGAACAGTTAAGAAACTTCATTAAAACCACGGTTGAGACCATGAACATAGACGATAACCAAGATCAAGTTGCTGTTGTTCAGTATCATCGTGATCCTACTGCCAATTTCTATTTGAATTCATACTCAAGTAAAAATGATGTGCTGAGCTCTGTCAGAACAATGAGGCACAAACTCGGAAGGCCACTGAATCTTGGCAAAGCACTGGAGTTTGTGAGAAGTAATGTTTTTGCCGCAGAGGTTGGAGGAAGACGTGATCAAATGGTGCCTCAGTACCTTTATGTGTTCAGCGGTGGCAGGTCTAGTGATGATGTGAGAGGAGCTGCCCAGTCACTCCGAGATAATGGCATTAAGACTGTAAGCATTGGAACAAGCAATGCTGATACTCTGGAAATGCAAACAGTGGCCCATACACCAGCACATTATATTTCTGTGTCAAATTTTAACAACTTGCAAAACCTTAACCAAAGGATTGAGGCTGTTCTGAGTGGCATTCCAGAATCAACTGAGTTTCCACCTGTAGTTGGTAAGATACCTTAAAAAGCATAGTTTGTTATGAATGTTATAGTTTAACGCAAGGTGCACGGTGAGGCTTTAGGTGGCATTATTCATACAAGTTCAGAAAGTGTGGAAGTCCATAAGGGCAACCTGATGCATAAACCCCTAAGAAGGTTAAGGTTAAGGTACTATCACTTAAGGAATTCTGTTATTTGCTTTTGACCCATTTTTCAATGCCGCTGGAGCAATCTGCAGATCTTGAGCTAGGCTTGGTCAAGACTACATTTGCTGAAGGATTTATCTATGATGCATGTGCTATGTTGCCGGGGAAACCGGAGTGAGACACTAGGATCAACCTCTGCAAAAAAAAAGGACCAGGTGGGCCATTTGTTTTGAACTGTTGCAGAAACCAGAATTTATAGAGCCTGATCTTGCCCCAGTCTTAGCACTAGTGCTCGCGTTAAGGAGGGGGCATGTCCAAGTCAGGCTGTACTTCACTCCTGGAGGCTGGAGTGGAATGGTACAAATACATATATTGTGATTACATCTGAACCAATCTGTGACCACTGTGGCAATTAAAAGCACTGCCAGTGTGGGTAATTTCTGCAATCTTTGCCCCCATTACAGGCAGCAAAGAGAGGTGTGAGTTATATATGAGTACAATAAAACAACTCTGGAGCCCCACAATGCAAGTACACACCAGTAGAAGCAGCAGGAATATAGAATTTTGGATGTGCGGGAAAGAACTAGCTGCATTTGTGTTCTGAAAATTTCACGCACATGTGCGCCCCTCTCACACACTCACGGCCAAGCCTGTGCACGCACACACCTTAACCTTTTTAGTTTTCTCTGCGTAGCTCATTTTATTTGCCTTTCATTATGCAGCAAACTAGTGTTTAGGGTGTGGCCGATTGTGGAATACATTTTTTCTCATAACAATGTTTCTGATGTTACCACTTTGCGCACAGACTTGAATTAAACCATGAACACATGGGGAGGGTGACTGCACGACCTGCTTTTGCCCCGCACAAGTGACTGATATGTGCCATGAGCACAGAGCAAAATGCACAAGTATGTGTACAGCAGCCTATAGTGCTCATGTGCACGATACATCTCTTGGCTCTAGTGACCGCTGCTGCCAAGAGAGCAGCACGTACGAGATGTGCATCTGCGCCTCTGTCACAGCCCCAAGCTGTCAATAAATGCATGGGCTGATCCCTGTCACCAGCCACTCCACGGCTCCATGCAGTTTGACGGTTCTGATGGTAGTTTACCTACTGGCAACTAACTTTATAAACTAACCAAAAAGGCCCAATGAGAATAATTTGGTCACAAAATTAAATGGAACTGATGACAGAAAAGGTACGAGGATGTGAGGAAATCTGACATCACAGTATTAGGACCGCAGACAGGGTAAGAAAACACACTTTAGGACAGCACTGTAAATGGCCTCATGTGAAGCTTTTGTGCAGTTCCAGATCAAACCAAACTATAGAGCAGTGCTGAGCCAATACAGGAAGCGGGCATGGGGCTGTGCTCTGCTGTGGGAGGTCATCCGGATGGCGCACGAACATCCCGCACATCACACAAACATATTATGAACATTAAGCATTTATCATACTAATATATTTCCAAATAAATGAAGCCTTGAGCATGTTACATGTTGTTTTTCAGTGAACTTTTTTAATATTTAATTTTATGATTCTGGCTGTTCACTGAACGCGCCACACCACGCCCTCAGTCTGCTCCACTCCACCCAATATTCAGCCACGGCGCACCTCTTGTTTAGAGCTCCACACCACACACTTGTGCTACTGCGAAGATTGGGGTCAAGCTGGGGCCATAGGGTTTATTGGCAATCCAGTAGATTAGGTCGACCTTCTCAGTGTCTCTATTGACTCATAGAAATAAGAGTCCAATTTCTAGATTTCTGCACCATCTACGTCTACGTGAATTTTACTTGAGCATTTAAGGTATTTGTTCAGTATAATAAAGCAATTGACTTTATTTAATTTACTAGTTATGTGATATGCCTCACAGTGCACCTTAGATTTGTGTTCATACTTATTAGACCTAATTTTTGATGGAACTTTGATTTGATCATTAAAAAAATCTATTTCAGAAATATCCAGCATTCGACTGTCTGAACTTCAGATTGCTGATATTGTGTTTCTTCTTGATGGATCCAAGGACATGCTCCCAAGTGAAAAACCCATTTGGAACTTTATCATGGGATTTGTGGAGCAATTAGAAATCGGACCGAGCAGGATGCAAGTAGCTTTGATTGAATACAACACACAGCCCACAGTACATTTCTCCTTAAACAGATATTCTTCAAGAGATGATGTCTTACATTATTTGAAATACACAGAGCTTTCAGGACGACCTAATGTTAATCTTGGTGCAGCACTGGACTATGTGAGAACAAATGTTTTCACTGCTGCATCAGGAAGCAGAGCCATGCACGGTGTACCACAAATACTAATAATTGTAACGTCAAGAAAATCAGATGATGACATAGTGGGCCCATTGGGCAGGCTACAGAAAACAGGAACTGTAACATACAGTATTGGAATAAATAATGCTGATAGGATGGAGGTGGAACAATTGGCACACAGTCCTGAAACCAAATATTTGGATGTGTCAGATTTTACTCAAGTGAGAGAACAGATATTGTCAGGCAAAACAACCCATGGAAAACCTCTTTATCCATCATTAGGTGAGTAAAAACATTTCCAAAGCTGAATTGCATTTTATCAGTCTGTTAACAGTTCTCTATCTTGTAGGTTCTAGGTCCATTATGAAAAGAGATGTTGTCTTTCTCATTGATGGATCAGACGATGTCAGAAATAAATTCTCTTCAATGAGAGATTTTGTGGCTAAAGTTGTCACCACATTTGAGATTGACGATGGAAAAGATAGGGTGGCTGTTGTTCAGTATAGCAGCAAAGCTGAGCAAAGTTTCAGCCTGAATACTTATACCACAAGGGAGGAGGTCTTAAGGAACATTGCAAACCTAAAACCAAAAGGTGGACGGCCACAATATATTGGGGCAGCATTGCAGCATGTAATTGATAAGGTTTTTATTTCAAATGCTGGAAGTCGAAAAAATGAAGGTGCCAAACAAATTCTTATCATTTTGGCTGGTGGAAGGTCAAGAGATTCCCCAAGAGGGCCAGCAACTGCTCTTAAAGCTGCAGGAGTAGAAATGTATGCTCTTGGATCAAAAACGGCAAATTCACAAGAAATGCAAATGATTGCATCCAATCCAAACTACACATATTCAGTCCCTGATTTTGTAAATCTTCCTTTAGTGCATCAAAGTTTAGTGGCCTACCTCTCTCAATATGAAGAAGTGGAAGATGTTAAAATAGGTAAAATGTAAATGTGAAATACTCATAAATGGAGAATGTAATGTTAAGATGAAGATAAAGATGTTGTATGTTTTCTGATCCATAGAGTCGAGACAAACATCAGGAAGAGATGTTGTTTTCTTGTTGGATGGATCTGATGGTACTAGAAATGAATTCCCGGCCATGCAAAACTTTGTCCAGAGAATGGTAGAGAGACTGAATGTGGATGAAAACAGAGATCGTGTGTCAGTGGTTCAGTACAGCAGAGATCCTGCTGTCCAGTTCTACCTGAACACTTACTCAACAAAAGGAGAAGTCCTTGGCACAATCAGAGGTTTGAGGCACAAAGGTGGAAGACCCCTGAACACTGGTGCAGCACTTCAGTACTTGAAGGATAACATCTTCACGGCCTCTGCTGGAAGCAGGCGCCAAGAAGGAGTGCCACAAGTGTTGATATTGTTAAGCGGTGGCAGGTCTAATGACAGTGTTGATGCACCGGCGTCTGCTCTCAAACAAATGGGTGTCTTGACATTTACAATTGGAACCAGAAACACAGACCCGAGAGAAATGCAAAAGATTTCACATGAGCCGAGTAAGGCTGTCTCTGTGTCTGACTTCAGTGACCTCCCCAATATCCAGCAACAACTTGAGTCCTCTGTTGAGACTGTAATTGTTGAGGCAGCCCCTGAATCACCAACTGCACCTGGTACGTTAGACTCTGACTGACACCCCTTCTGAGTATACAATATAATCTGTTTTCCAACCACTTAGTCTGGTTATATTCATAAAATGACTGTAATTTAATAGAGAGCATGTTGATTTAAAAATATATCTAGCAGATATACGGATAGCCGAGTCTGTTTTAATTGTCTTAATGTTCTGTTCTTAGTTGACAGTGCCAACAAGGATATAGTTTTCCTTCTGGATGATTCTGATGCAACAAGAAATGGCTTCCCTGCCATGCGTGATTTTGTGGAGAGAGTGGTGAAAACACTTAATATAGGTGAAAACACTGACCATGTGTCTGTGGTCCAGTACAGCAGAGATGCAGAGGTCAGTTTCTATCTGAACACACATGACACCAGAGATGATGTTTTGGGTGCAGTCAGAGGGCTGAGACACAGAGGAGGCAGACCCCTCAACACCGGGGCAGCCCTCCAATACGTCAGGGACAATGTCTTCACAAACTCTGCTGGCAGCAGGAGTCTGCAAGGTGTTCCACAGATGTTGATCCTTCTAAATGGCGGAAGGTCTTTTGATGATGCGGAAACACCGGCCGCTGCTCTCAGAGACAAGGGCATCATTGTGTTTGGCATTGGAGCAGGAAGGGCTGCCGGGGCAGAGATGAAAAACATAGCATATGACCCCAGTTATGCTGTGTCTGTGTCTGACTTCTCTGACCTCCCCAATGTCCAAGAGCAGCTCTCTTCTGTAATGAGCACAACAGTAGTGCAGGTCACGACAATTACACCAAATGTAACCGGTAAGAGTGTGACGCAGTTTTGCTTTATTATTCTAAGATAATGTGATGCAAACTAATGTACCTTAGTCATTAGACAAATTAACAGAAAAGTAGCGTTTTGGTTCCTGCATGTGTGGTCAGTCATAACATATCTAGGAAAAAAATAGTCCAGGTATATAGTTGACATATCTCATTCTGTGTTCCCTAGTGGTGAGACAGCAAGCGGGAAGAGATGTTGTTTTCTTATTGGATGGATCTGATGGTACTAGAAATGAATTCCCAGCCATGCAAAACTTTGTCCAGAGAATGGTAGAGAGACTGAATGTGGATGAAAACAGAGATCGTGTGTCAGTGGTTCAGTACAGCAGAGATCCTGCTGTCCAGTTCTACCTGAACACTTACTCAACAAAAGGAGAAGTCCTTGGCACAATCAGAGGTTTGAGGCACAAAGGTGGAAGACCCCTGAACACTGGTGCAGCACTTCAGTACTTGAAGGATAACATCTTCACGGCCTCTGCTGGAAGCAGGCGCCAAGAAGGAGTGCCACAAGTGTTGATATTGTTAAGCGGTGGCAGGTCTAATGACAGTGTTGATGCACCGGCGTCTGCTCTCAAACAAATGGGTGTCTTGACATTTACAATTGGAACCAGAAACACAGACCCGAGAGAAATGCAAAAGATTTCACATGAGCCGAGTAAGGCTGTCTCTGTGTCTGACTTCAGTGACCTCCCCAATATCCAGCAACAACTTGAGTCCTCTGTTGAGACTGTAATTGTTGAGGCAGCCCCTGAATCACCAACTGCACCTGGTACGTTAGACTCTGACTGACACCCCTTCTGAGTATAAAATATAATCTGTTTTCCAACCACTTAGTCTGGTTATATTCATAAAATGACTGAATTTAATAGAGAGCATGTTGATTTAAAAATATATCTAGCAGATATACGGATAGCCGAGTCTGTTTTAATTGTCTTAATGTTCTGTTCTTAGTTGACAGTGCCAACAAGGATATAGTTTTCCTTCTGGATGATTCTGATGCAACAAGAAATGGCTTCCCTGCCATGCGTGATTTTGTGGAGAGAGTGGTGAAAACACTTAATATAGGTGAAAACACTGACCATGTGTCTGTGGTCCAGTACAGCAGAGATGCAGAGGTCAGTTTCTATCTGAACACACATGACACCAGAGATGATGTTTTGGGTGCAGTCAGAGGGCTGAGACACAGAGGAGGCAGACCCCTCAACACCGGGGCAGCCCTCCAATACGTCAGGGACAATGTCTTCACAAACTCTGCTGGCAGCAGGAGTCTGCAAGGTGTTCCACAGATGTTGATCCTTCTAAATGGCGGAAGGTCTTTTGATGATGCGGAAACACCGGCCGCTGCTCTCAGAGACAAGGGCATCATTGTGTTTGGCATTGGAGCAGGAAGGGCTGCCGGGGCAGAGATGAAAAACATAGCATATGACCCCAGTTATGCTGTGTCTGTGTCTGATTTCTCTGACCTCCCCAATGTCCAAGAGCAGCTCTCTTCTGTAATGAGCACAACAGTAGTGCAGGTCACGACAATTACACCAAATGTAACCGGTAAGAGTGTGACGCAGTTTTGCTTTATTATTCTAAGATAATGTGACGCAAACTAATGTAGCTTAGTCATTAGACAAATCAACAGAAAAGTAGCGTTTTGATTCCTGCATGTGTGGTCAGTCATGACATATCTAGGAAAAAAATAGTCCAGGTATATAGTTGACATATCTCATTCTGTGTTCCCTAGTGGTGAGACAGCAAGCGGGAAGAGATGTTGTTTTCTTATTGGATGGATCTGATGGTACTAGAAATGAATTCCCGGCCATGCAAAACTTTGTCCAGAGAATGGTAGAGAGACTGAATGTGGATGAAAACAGAGATCGTGTGTCAGTGGTTCAGTACAGCAGAGATCCTGCTGTCCAGTTCTACCTGAACACTTACTCAACAAAAGGAGAAGTCCTTGGCACAATCAGAGGTTTGAGGCACAAAGGTGGAAGACCCCTGAACACTGGTGCAGCACTTCAGTACTTGAAGGATAACATCTTCACGGCCTCTGCTGGAAGCAGGCGCCAAGAAGGAGTGCCACAAGTGTTGATATTGTTAAGCGGTGGCAGGTCTAATGACAGTGTTGATGCACCGGCGTCTGCTCTCAAACAAATGGGTGTCTTGACATTTACAATTGGAACCAGAAACACAGACCCGAGAGAAATGCAAAAGATTTCACATGAGCCGAGTAAGGCTGTCTCTGTGTCTGACTTCAGTGACCTCCCCAATATCCAGCAACAACTTGAGTCCTCTGTTGAGACTGTAATTGTTGAGGCAGCCCCTGAATCACCAACTGCACCTGGTACGTTAGACTCTGACTGACACCCCTTCTGAGTATACAATATAATCTGTTTTCCAACCACTTAGTCTGGTTATATTCATAAAATGACTGTAATTTAATAGAGAGCATGTTGATTTAAAAATATATCTAGCAGATATACGGATAGTCGAGTCTGTTTTAATTGTCTTAATGTTCTGTTCTTAGTTGACAGTGCCAACAAGGATATAGTTTTTCCTTCTGGATGATTCTGATGCAACAAGAAATGGCTTCCCTGCCATGCGTGATTTTGTGGAGAGAGTGGTGCAAACACTTAATATAGGTGAAAACACTGACCATGTGTCTGTGGTCCAGTACAGCAGAGATGCAGAGGTCAGTTTCTATCTGAACACACATGACACCAGAGATGATGTTTTGGGTGCAGTCAGAGGGCTGAGACACAGAGGAGGCAGACCCCTCAACACCGGGGCAGCCCTCCAATACGTCAGGGACAATGTCTTCACAAACTCTGCTGGCAGCAGGAGTCTGCAAGGTGTTCCACAGATGTTGATCCTTCTAAATGGCGGAAGGTCTTTTGATGATGCGGAAACACCGGCCGCTGCTCTCAGAGACAAGGGCATCATTGTGTTTGGCATTGGAGCAGGAAGGGCTGCCGGGGCAGAGATGAAAAACATAGCATATGACCCCAGTTATGCTGTGTCTGTGTCTGATTTCTCTGACCTCCCCAATGTCCAAGAGCAGCTCTCTTCTGTAATGAGCACAACAGTAGTGCAGGTCACGACAATTACACCAAATGTAACCGGTAAGAGTGTGACGCAGTTTTGCTTTATTATTCTAAGATAATGTGACGCAAACTAATGTACCTTAGTCATTAGACAAATTAACAGAAAAGTAGCTTTTTGATTCCTGCATGTGTGGTCAGCCATGACATATCTAGGAAAAAAAAGATTCCAGGTATATAGTTGACATATCTCATTCTGTGTTCCCTAGTGGTGAGACAGCAAGCGGGAAGAGATGTTGTTTTCTTATTGGATGGATCTGATGGTACTAGAAATGAATTCCCAGCCATGCAAAACTTTGTCCAGAGAATGGTAGAGAGACTGAATGTGGATGAAAACAGAGATCGTGTGTCAGTGGTTCAGTACAGCAGAGATCCTGCTGTCCAGTTCTACCTGAACACTTACTCAACAAAAGGAGAAGTCCTTGGCACAATCAGAGGTTTGAGGCACAAAGGTGGAAGACCCCTGAACACTGGTGCAGCACTTCAGTACTTGAAGGATAACATCTTCACGGCCTCTGCTGGAAGCAGGCGCCAAGAAGGAGTGCCACAAGTGTTGATATTGTTAAGCGGTGGCAGGTCTAATGACAGTGTTGATGCACCGGCGTCTGCTCTCAAAGAAATGGGTGTCTTGACATTTACAATTGGAACCAGAAACACAGACCCGAGAGAAATGCAAAAGATTTCACATGAGCCGAGTAAGGCTGTCTCTGTGTCTGACTTCAGTGACCTCCCCAATATCCAGCAACAACTTGAGTCCTCTGTTGAGACTGTAATTGTTGAGGCAGCCCCTGAATCACCAACTGCACCTGGTACGTTAGACTCTGACTGACACCCCTTCTGAGTATAAAATATAATCTGTTTTCCAACCACTTAGTCTGGTTATATTCATAAAATGACTGTAATTTAATAGAGAGCATGTTGATTTAAAAATATATCTAGCAGATATACGGATAGCCGAGTCTGTTTTAATTGTCTTAATGTTCTGTTCTTAGTTGACAGTGCCAACAAGGATATAGTTTTCCTTCTGGATGATTCTGATGCAACAAGAAATGGCTTCCCTGCCATGCGTGATTTTGTGGAGAGAGTGGTGAAAACACTTAATATAGGTGAAAACACTGACCATGTGTCTGTGGTCCAGTACAGCAGAGATGCAGAGGTCAGTTTCTATCTGAACACACATGACACCAGAGATGATGTTTTGGGTGCAGTCAGAGGGCTGAGACACAGAGGAGGCAGACCCCTCAACACCGGGGCAGCCCTCCAATACGTCAGGGACAATGTCTTCACAAACTCTGCTGGCAGCAGGAGTCTGCAAGGTGTTCCACAGATGTTGATCCTTCTAAATGGCGGAAGGTCTTTTGATGATGCGGAAACACCGGCCGCTGCTCTCAGAGACAAGGGCATCATTGTGTTTGGCATTGGAGCAGGAAGGGCTGCCGGGGCAGAGATGAAAAACATAGCATATGACCCCAGTTATGCTGTGTCTGTGTCTGATTTCTCTGACCTCCCCAATGTCCAAGAGCAGCTCTCTTCTGTAATGAGCACAACAGTAGTGCAGGTCACGACAATTACACCAAATGTAACCGGTAAGAGTGTGACGCAGTTTTGCTTTATTATTCTAAGATAATGTGATGCAAACTAATGTACCTTAGTCATTAGACAAATTAACAGAAAAGTAGCTTTTTGATTCCTGCATGTGTGGTCAGCCATGACATATCTAGGAAAAAAAAGATTCCAGGTATATAGTTGACATATCTCATTCTGTGTTCCCTAGTGGTGAGACAGCAAGCGGGAAGAGATGTTGTTTTCTTATTGGATGGATCTGATGGTACTAGAAATGAATTCCCAGCCATGCAAAACTTTGTCCAGAGAATGGTAGAGAGACTGAATGTGGATGAAAACAGAGATCGTGTGTCAGTGGTTCAGTACAGCAGAGATGCTGCTGTCCAGTTCTACCTGAACACTTATTCAACAAAAGGAGAAGTCCTTGGCACAATCAGAGGTTTGAGGCACAAAGGTGGAAGACCCCTGAACACTGGTGCAGCACTTCAGTACTTGAAGGATAACATCTTCACGGCCTCTGCTGGAAGCAGGCGCCAAGAAGGAGTGCCACAAGTGTTGATATTGTTAAGCGGTGGCAGGTCTAATGACAGTGTTGATGCACCGGCGTCTGCTCTCAAAGAAATGGGTGTCTTGACATTTACAATTGGAACCAGAAACACAGACCCGAGAGAAATGCAAAAGATTTCACATGAGCCGAGTAAGGCTGTCTCTGTGTCTGACTTCAATGACCTCCCCAATGTCCAGCAACAACTTGAGTCCTCTGTTGAGACTGTAATTGTTGAGGCAGCCCCTGAATCACCAACTGCACCTGGTACGTTAGACTCTGACTTGACACCCCTTCTGAGTATAAAATATAATCTGTTTTCCAACCACTTAGTCTGGTTATATTCATAAAATGACTGTAATTTAATAGAGAGCATGTTGATTTAAAAATATATCTAGCAGATATACGGATAGTCGAGTCTGTTTTAATTGTCTTAATGTTCTGTTCTTAGTTGACAGTGCCAACAAGGATATAGTTTTCCTTCTGGATGATTCTGATGCAACAAGAAATGGCTTCCCTGCCATGCGTGATTTTGTGGAGAGAGTGGTGCAAAACACTTAATATAGGTGAAAACACTGACCATGTGTCTGTGGTCCAGTACAGCAGAGATGCAGGAGGTCAGTTTCTATCTGAACACACATGACACCAGAGATGATGTTTTGGGTGCAGTCAGAGGGCTGAGACACAGAGGAGGCAGACCCCTCAACACCGGGGCAGCCCTCCAATACGTCAGGGACAATGTCTTCACAAACTCTGCTGGCAGCAGGAGTCTGCAAGGTGTTCCACAGATGTTGATCCTTCTAAATGGCGGAAGGTCTTTTGATGATGCGGAAACACCGGCCGCTGCTCTCAGAGACAAGGGCATCATTGTGTTTGGCATTGGAGCAGGAAGGGCTGCCGGGGCAGAGATGAAAAACATAGCATATGACCCCAGTTATGCTGTGTCTGTGTCTGATTTCTCTGACCTCCCCAATGTCCAAGAGCAGCTCTCTTCTGTAATGAGCACAACAGTAGTGCAGGTCACGACAATTACACCAAATGTAACCGGTAAGAGTGTGACGCAGTTTTGCTTTATTATTCTAAGATAATGTGACGCAAACTAATGTACCTTAGTCATTAGACAAATTAACAGAAAAGTAGCTTTTTGATTCCTGCATGTGTGGTCAGCCATGACATATCTAGGAAAAAAAAGATTCCAGGTATATAGTTGACATATCTCATTCTGTGTTCCCTAGTGGTGAGACAGCAAGCGGGAAGAGATGTTGTTTTCTTATTGGATGGATCTGATGGTACTAGAAATGAATTCCCAGCCATGCAAAACTTTGTCCAGAGAATGGTAGAGAGACTGAATGTGGATGAAAAACAGAGATCGTGTGTCAGTGGTTCAGTACAGCAGAGATGCTGCTGTCCAGTTCTACCTGAACACTTATTCAACAAAAGGAGAAGTCCTTGGCACAATCAGAGGTTTGAGGCACAAAGGTGGAAGACCCCTGAACACTGGTGCAGCACTTGAGTACTTGAAGGATAACATCTTCACGGCCTCTGCTGGAAGCAGGCGCCAAGAAGGAGTGCCACAAGTGTTGATATTGTTAAGCGGTGGCAGGTCTTTTGACAGTGTTGATGCACCGGCGTCTGCTCTCAAAGAAATGGGTGTCTTGACATTTACAATTGGAACCAGAAACACAGACCCGAGAGAAATGCAAAAGATTTCACATGAGCCGAGTAAGGCTGTCTCTGTGTCTGACTTCAATGACCTCCCCAATGTCCAGCAACAACTTGAGTCCTCTGTTGAGACTGTAATTGTTGAGGCAGCCCCTGAATCACCAACTGCACCTGGTACGTTAGACTCTGATTGACACCCCTTCTGAGTATAAAATATAATCTGTTTTCCAACCACTTAGTCTGGTTATATTCATAAAATGACTGTAATTTAATAGAGAGCATGTTGATTTAAAAATATATCTAGCAAATATACGGATAGCCGAGTCTGTTTTAATTGTCTTAATGTTCTGTTCTTAGTTGACAGTGCCAACAAGGATATAGTTTTCCTTCTGGATGATTCTGATGCAACAAGAAATGGCTTCCCTGCCATGCGTGATTTTGTGGAGAGAGTGGTGAAAACACTTAATATAGGTGAAAACACTGACCATGTGTCTGTGGTCCAGTACAGCAGAGATGCAGAGGTCAGTTTCTATCTGAACACACATGACACCAGAGATGATGTTTTGGGTGCAGTCAAAGGGCTGAGACACAGAGGAGGCAGACCCCTCAACACCGGGGCAGCCCTCCAATACGTCAGGGACAATGTCTTCACAAACTCTGCTGGCAGCAGGAGTCTGCAAGGTGTTCCACAGATGTTGATCCTTCTAAATGGCGGAAGGTCTTTTTGATGATGCGGAAACACCGGCCGCTGCTCTCAGAGACAAGGGCATCATTGTGTTTGGCATTGGAGCAGGAAGGGCTGCCGGGGCAGAGATGAAAAACATAGCATATGACCCCAGTTATGCTGTGTCTGTGTCTGATTTCTCTGACCTCCCCAATGTCCAAGAGCAGCTCTCTTCTGTAATGAGCACAACAGTAGTGCAGGTCACGACAATTACACCAAATGTAACCGGTAAGAGTGTGACGCAGTTTTGCTTTATTATTCTAAGATAATGTGATGCAAACTAATGTACCTTAGTCATTAGACAAATTAAACAGAAAAGTAGCTTTTTGATTCCTGCATGTGTGGTCAGCCATGACATATCTAGGAAAAAAAAGATTCCAGGTATATAGTTGACATATCTCATTCTGTGTTCCCTAGTGGTGAGACAGCAAGCGGGAAGAGATGTTGTTTTCTTATTGGATGGATCTGATGGTACTAGAAATGAATTCCCAGCCATGCAAAACTTTGTCCAGAGAATGGTAGAGAGACTGAATGTGGATGAAAACAGAGATCGTGTGTCAGTGGTTCAGTACAGCAGAGATCCTGCTGTCCAGTTCTACCTTAACACTTACTTCAACAAAAGGAGAAGTCCTTGGCACAATCAGAGGTTTGAGGCACAAAGGTGGAAGACCCCTGAACACTGGTGCAGCACTTCAGTACTTGAAGGATAACATCTTCACGGCCTCTGCTGGAAGCAGGCGCCAAGAAGGAGTGCCACAAGTGTTGATATTGTTAAGCGGTGGCAGGTCTTTTGACAGTGTTGATGCACCGGCGTCTGCTCTCAAACAAATGGGTGTCTTGACATTTACAATTGGAACCAGAAACACAGACCCGAGAGAAATGCAAAAAGATTTCACATGAGCCGAGTAAGGCTGTCTCTGTGTCTGACTTCAATGACCTCCCCAATGTCCAGCAACAACTTGAGTCCTCTGTTGAGACTGTAATTGTTGAGGCAGCCCCTGAATCACCAACTGCACCTGGTACGTTAGACTCTGACTGACACCCCTTCTGAGTATAAAATATAATCTGTTTTCCAACCACTTAGTCTGGTTATATTCATAAAATGACTGTAATTTAATAGAGAGCATGTTGATTTAAAAATATATCTAGCAGATATACGGATAGTCGAGTCTGTTTTAATTGTCTTAATGTTCTGTTCTTAGTTGACAGTGCCAACAAGGATATAGTTTTCCTTCTGGATGATTCTGATGCAACAAGAAATGGCTTCCCTGCCATGCGTGATTTTGTGGAGAGAGTGGTGCAAACACTTAATATAGGTGAAAACACTGACCATGTGTCTGTGGTCCAGTACAGCAGAGATGCAGAGGTCAGTTTCTATCTGAACACACATGACACCAGAGATGATGTTTTGGGTGCAGTCAGAGGGCTGAGACACAGAGGAGGCAGACCCCTCAACACCGGGGCAGCCCTCCAATACGTCAGGGACAATGTCTTCACAAACTCTGCTGGCAGCAGGAGTCTGCAAGGTGTTCCACAGATGTTGATCCTTCTAAATGGCGGAAGGTCTTTTGATGATGCGGAAACACCGGCCGCTGCTCTCAGAGACAAGGGCATCATTGTGTTTGGCATTGGAGCAGGAAGGGCTGCCGGGGCAGAGATGAAAAACATAGCATATGACCCCAGTTATGCTGTGTCTGTGTCTGATTTCTCTGACCTCCCCAATGTCCAAGAGCAGCTCTCTTCTGTAATGAGCACAACAGTAGTGCAGGTCACGACAATTACACCAAATGTAACCGGTAAGAGTGTGACGCAGTTTTGCTTTATTATTCTAAGATAATGTGACGCAAACTAATGTAGCTTAGTCATTAGACAAATTAACAG